GCTGGTCTCCAATAGGAGTCCAAGATGGTGGATGTGCACTGCGTTAGCTGATACGGGACCTCTGCACGAATCTCTCCTCGTTCTCCATTCTCTGTCAGTTTTCTCACTCCATTTGGTGCTTGGCTGAGTTCTTTATCCCTTCATTTGATGTTTTAGGGTTTCAGGATTGTTGTTTTCTCTGTTCGGCTTAGTTTTTTGGATCATTGCTGTGGAGGGACGGCGTTGTGCTTCTGCCTAGAGCACCATTTTGCTGGAAGTCCTGGTTGTACTTTTTTAAAATACTTTCATATACTTTTATTTATTCAAGGTCATTGAAGAAATACCAAAGCCCTTCTATGAGCTGGTCTCTACATACCTTTCCAACAATTTCTCTCTATATACCCTAAACTCCAGCAGAAGCAAAAGTTCTAAGTACTTACAGTTCCCATTTTTCTTGGAATAGCACTCCTCTTCATGTTAACGAGTCTAAACTTTAACAAATTCTGAAAGTTCAGCACAAATATCACCTTTTTCATGAAGACTTTACAAAGTACACTACCACAGCAATGCTAAAACTAGCAATTGTGGTGACCTAGGCAAGTAGCAAGGAGCCCTGTGGTTCAGTGGTTAAGCACTCGGCTGCTAACTAAAAGGTTTGCCGTTTGAACCTACCCAGTGTTCTGTGGGAGAAAGATGTGTCAGTCAGCTTCCATTAAGATTACAGCCTTGGAAACCCCATGGGGCAGTTCTACTCTGTCCTATAGAGTTGTTATGAGTCTGAATTGACTTGACAGCAATATGGTTTGGTTCTAGGCAAGTAGAAAAGTGCCTTCAGATCAATGTATAACTTATGATGTACCTAACCAAAGGGAGTTATTAAGAACTGCAGGCATCTGGTAGGTCCCTTTTTTAACTAAACTGGTATTAACCAGGTGTTAAACTCAGTTTCTATATGCTTGAAAGCCTGCGTATGCTGTCAGCATGTAATGTAATAAATGCTGTATGTATGAGCTATTTAAATCATTATTTTACCTTTCTGCACTCTAAATTTTAGTGCCCTGTGACACAGCCTAGCTTACCTACAGTATCAAAATATACAGTAGAAACACCTTTGCTTCCCAGTTAAAAGTGTTCTCTTCCATTAAGGACTGATTAATTACTATTTTTACTAATTAACAAAATTATTTAAATCTATTCCTCTGTTAAGGGCACTTATTACTTGCTCTTTGTGAACCTTTGTTTTATTTTCCCTTCTATGTTCTTTGAAGGTATGATTCACAATCATTTCATCTTTTTATCTCCCACAGGTTCTCAGCCAGTTCCTTATATGTACAGGGCACTTTAAATATAAATTAAGAATTTCTCTTCCACTTTCAAGGAAGGCTCTTCTCATTCTTTTCATTTGTATTCCATCTTCTTATGAAGTCTTCCTTGACCATCCCAGCTCACAGGTCACTCGTATGTCTGAACTCCTACCTATAGAACTGACTGCCTATAAACCATTCAATCGCCACCAATAGTACCCTATTGTTATCTTTTTATGTATACATGCATTTTATAGTCTTTTTATATTTCAGTTTATCCCAACAATATCTAGGTGCAGCATTTTGTATTTATTAAAATTCATTCCAACTCAGAATCAACTCGACGGCAAAGGGATAACCTTTTAAAAATCAATCAAGAGACTCAGGAAAATATAATCAAAACTGGTACCTAAAGAGAACAAAAGACCTTCTCTGTGGCTATGAATATTAAACTCCTATTGTTAAAGGGCCAAAGGCTTTGACATACATGATAACCAAAAAAACCCACGGCTGTTGAGTCAACTCATAGGAACCCTATAGGACAGAGTAGAACTGCTCCATAGGGTTTCCAAGGAGCAACTGGTGGATTCAAACTGCTGACCATTTGGTTAGCAGCCAAGTTCTTAACCACTGTGCCATCTACATGATAGTTACTAGTTAAATTAAATCGTATTGGGAGTCTACAAGTATCTTGGAAATTCACGAGTCTTCCTTCTAACTTTCGGAAGACAAAAGCACAGCCACATTCATTTTCTACCCAGACCAATGAAAGCAGATGACTTTAAACAAAAACAATTATATTAAAATATATAAAGACAAAATTCATTTGTAATTTAGTTAGTTTTCCCTGCTGAAGACATGTACATATTTAGTTTGTAGTGCATATCATTTTACCCTATGCTAAGCCTTAGCTCTTTTATTTCTATTATGTTTCCTCTTCCCTGATGGACTAAAAGCAGAAGAGCACTCTGAATCTTCACTTCTTTTGTATCCTTCCACAAGGCAGGCATTTAATAAATATTGGCAGAATGGCATTAAAGTTACTTACATTTTGAACAACTTTATGAAAATTAACAGAATACCACAGATTTCACACACTTTTAAAATTATAAATATGGTCAAATCCTACTATAAGAAAAGGAGTTAGTTCTCTATTTCAGTATCTCAATCAGAACAATTTAGGGTCTTGCTACTCAAACTGTGGCCCATAGATCAGCAGCGGTGGTATTACCTGAAACTCACTCTGAGCAATCTCAGGCCCCATCTCAGGCCTCCTGAATCAGAATCTGCATTTTCAAGATCCCCAGGTGATCCGTAAGCACTTTAAGGTTGAGAAGCACTGGTTTAAACTCCAGTGCAAGAATTAGAATGTCTAAGATGCATATAACCAATTTAATGTTAAATAGTTTATTATAATGGCTTATTTGTCTTCATAATCTAACTGAAGGCTTGTGGAGGGCAGGAACTCTATCTTGCTTACCATGAGTACTCCCTGGGCCTAATAGGGCCTGGACCCCTGGTGGCGCAGTAGTTAAGAGCTTGGCTGCTAACCAAAAGGTTCGAATCCACCAGCTGCTCCCTGGAAACCTTATGGGGCAGTTCTACTCTGTCTATAGGATCACTGAGTCAGAATCGACTCTACGGCAATGGGTAATAAGGCCTGGAACATTATTAGGTGCTCAAGAAATATTTTTTGTTGACTGCATGAATGACAGAACAAAGTAAAAATAAAACTTCTTCAGAAACCTAATCCTGTAGGAAAGTCTTTTCTACATCATGATTTCACTACTGTATTAATTTTTCAATTTGGTAGTATTAATTCCATTTAAAATGTGTTGCCTTCTCAAATGGACACGGGAATTCCGGGGTGGAGAGGAGGAGTGTGCTGTCACATTATATGGATAGCAACTAGGATCACATAACAATGTGTGTATAAATTTGTGTATGAGAAACTGACTTGAGCTGTAAACTTTCACTTGAAGCACAATTAAAAAAAAAAAATGGGTTGCCTTCTCTACTTCAACAAGTCCATTTTATGCACTTGCCAAAGCAAAAGCTTGAATCATCGTCCTCTGTTGGACCCACCAGAGGCCTCTTTTACAAGTCAGATAGCTGCATTTTAATTCTGGCTCTCATAAATTCACCCCATATGCCTGTACAAAATGTAATCACCACAACAACTTAAGGAGGAGGGAGCAGAGGAGAAATGGATATGGCAAAAACAATACTGTATCAGGAGCATCATAGCAAACCTGCAAAGTGTGATTCTTTGAGCAGAATACCTCCGGAAAATAACTTCAGGTAAGGGAAAGAAACACGATGTAAGAGAGCCCTTACCGTCTCAACAGCAAAAGGTGATACTGGAGAATACAATGGGGTAATAAAAGACTGGCGACTACCTAGCGACAGAAGGTGGCAACACACCAGACCAGAACCAAAGCGGATAGCGGTTAGAAACCAAGATAGGGCAAAAACCATTTGCAGAGAAGGAAGTCAAGGGAGAAAAAAGAGGAAAGAAAATAGCTGGGTGAAGGGTATAACTTACGATGATGATGATTCTTTTTTTTTGAGAAAGAGATATGACACGCACTTGATGGGGCGGGGGGAGGGGGGGAGAGGCAGGAAGAGGAGGGAGATTGCAATACAGCGCACTGCAAAAAGGAGCGCCTGCAGATGTCCCTGCCCACCTCACACGGTCCGACAGAAGCAGTCCAGGCAAAGGTGGGTGGTAACGCCTGGCTCCACTTGCCCCCACCCCGTGGCCGGAGCCATCTCCTCCGAAGCCTGCGGGGCACTGGGTGGGGTCGGGAAAGGGCGGACTGTGTGTGGGAGGGTGTGCAGGAGCGGGGGCGGATGCTGGGCTGACCAAGTACCCACCTTGTCCCAACGGAGCCACTGCCCGATGGCCGTGTCTAGCTGAGGGTCCCCGGTGTGGTAGTGGGTGTGCAGCAGGTTGGAGTTCAGGTCTCCCTCTGCATTTTCAGCCATGGCAGCCAGAGTGGGGTATGCGGGCCTGGGGGGCTGCGAAGTCACCGAGTCGGCGAGGAGGGCCCCTGGAGTGCACTCACCAGGGTCCGGACGCCCCCTCCTCACTGAAAGGCATCAGAGACCAAACGCCGGGTGTTTGCTCTAGCTCCTGACACAGCTTGGGGGACACGAGAGAAGAGTATACGACCTCCTGCTCCCCACCAGAACAACTCGTGGTCTCTGGGCGAACTGATTGAGGCGGTCCCGCCGCGAGAGAACAACAACAGTCCCAGATGTCTGGAGTCTTGGCCGGCGCCGCCGGCGCCGCCGCCCCCACCGCCGCACTAGCCGCCTTTGGTCCCGCCCCCGCGCCGTAGGCCCCGCCTGTTCCCGCCCCTGATGATTTAAGTCCCCTGCTCTTGTGGCGCGAGTCCAGGAATGCGCTGCCGGTGCCTCCGCAGTAGCGCTAGTTTAGATTCACCGGCGTAGTGAGGAGTTGGAGCACGGCGCTTTTTATTTTTTAATTTGACTGACGCCAGGCATCTTATCCTTTTTAGCAAACCCACACACGCCCACGAGTGTCCTTTCCACCATCTGCCGTCATGGCCACAAGAGCAGAGCCACCCGCCTCAGCCTTCGTTCTGCGGGTCCCGAGCGCGCGCAAAGGCCGCCCGCCGCCTTGGTGCACGCGCCTGGCGGCGAGGGTGCGCGGCTGCTCCCGCACGGTTTCACGGAAGTTGTAGTTCTTTCATTTCTTCAAGGACTGGGGAAACCGCCGCAAAGACTACGACTCCCAGCAGTCTCGCTCCCTCCCTTTCCTCAAAGGAAAAAGCTCTATCTCGAGGCTGTTCCCTACGGGCACGCCCAGTCCCTGTTGGTTATGCTGTGCAGTGTGGCCCTGGGATTAAATTAATTAAATTAAGTTAAATTCAACAAGGAGTGATATAGTAAGGTAACAAGTGTCATCCGTTGAGTGCTTTACGAGTCGCGTTTTATCGCTTCAATCATTCTGTGAGGTAGGTGGGCGTGATCCATCAACATTTTACACACAAAGAGGGAAGTGATCCTCTGAGAGGTGAACAGACTTTCAAAGGATCAGAGTTCGTGAATGATGGAACCAGGGTTCTGACTCCTTTTCGAATCATTTTGCTTTGCTGCTTTTAAGGAGGAAAGACAGGTCGGCATTTAACCATAACGTTGACAGTGTATAAGCCTTGTAAGAGAGAGACAAGGGGCAGTGGGTATACTGAGGAAGAAGAAATTGGTTTTCCCAAACTGAAATAGTTTTCAGTTTCTCCTTATCCTGTTTTATGGGATGCTCGCTTTTCTTTCACTCAACTTGAGGTCTGGAAGATGCTGAGAAGTGGTTATTTCTTGTGACAGACACCTGGCTGGTTGTGAGTTTCTTGGTTTGGCCTTCTTAGAATGGCTCTGTGATTTTGACCAAGTATCTTACAACTCTTCCCCTAGTCAGCTTTTTTGTGAGGCGGGTATGATGATATTTACACCACGGCTGTACAGTAACTCTAGAAGTGCTTTGAGATTCAGAAATAAAAGGTATAATAAATGCAAAGTATTACTTTCTTTCCTTTAAAGTGCATTTACCATAATAAAATCCAAACTAACAAAGTATAAAAGGATTGCAGTGCCAGTTCCTGAAAAATAACCTGCCATAGTTGGGAGTTACAGTTTTTGCGAGAGTTGGGTGCTTCTTTAATGGAGTCAGCAAGTTATATAATCACACAAGGCCTGGGAAATTATCATATGTCCTGGAGAGAAATTCATGCATGACTGTCATCACCATTTTTATCCATGACAAATATTAGTTGAACATTTACTCTATGCTAAGCATTATGTTAGGAGCTAAGGCTGTAAGAATTTATGTAATAAAATTGTTCTTTTCAAGCAATAAAAATCTGTCTGGGGAGACAAGATATGTGCAAGAAGAGATAGCCCATGATAAATAGCAAATACTTGCTGCAGACAACTGTTAAAGAATTCGGCAGTCAAAGGCAGCATAAAAGCATCAAGAGGAGGGAAGGACCTATACTGAGTTTTGAGGGACAGAAAATAAGAAAGTAGAGAAAAAAGTAGAGGGCATTTCAAACTCACAGACCTGTGGTTCTCTCTCTCCCTAGGAGTTTGAAATGTATAGTCCTGGGCACTGCCCCTAGAGATTCTGAATTAGTACCTTGGAATGGAACCTAAGTACCTGCATACTTAACAAATATCTCAGTGATTGTGACATAGATGGCCAGTAATCTTGCTGCTCAGAGTATTAATAGGAGGAACAGCAGCTTTGGCATCCTCTGGAACCTTAATAAGAAATACAAAATGTCACGTTCTGCATCTTAACAAGATCCACAGATGATTTATATGCACAATAGTTTTTATAAGACAATTCTCTGAGGAACATTACTAAATGAACAGAAACTTTCAAGAGATGGAATTATGTAGGGCAACTGTAGAAGACAGGAAAAACACACGTTTTAACTCATTACCAGAGTCAGCTAGCCTTTATTTTTATCAGCAAGATCGTGACAGACATAAAATGTTTACCAGAAACCTCACCCAGAGGCTTCAGCTTATTGCTAGGACTTAAAGGGTAACCAAGCAGACCCAGAACGCATCAAATCCAAGAACAGTGTCTAAGTGTGTCCAGAAGAGGGAGTATAGTAGTTTCCCTAGTCAGGGAAAGCTCAGAAACGTACATTTCTGTCAAAATTTGCAGAGATCATTTTTTTTCCCCTTTATTTTCTTGTTTGTTTTTTAACAGGAGAGTTATGTGGCCATTCTAAAGAGATTAGCAGAACAATTATGGAACCTTAGATATTAGATCCGAAAAGAAAATTTTTGTTAATTCTTGATTAGTAAAATTGATTATTTTATTAATTAAATTATTTTAATTAATTAAAATTCTTGATTAACAAACTTGATTGAATGCCTGCCATATGCCAAACACTGTTCTTATTGCTAAAGATAAAGTAGTAAACAAAACAAAATCTTGGGGATTTTGTTCTAGTGGAGAGAGAAGTCAACAAATAAACAAGTAATCATGATGATATGTGCTATGGGAAAAAAAATAAAGCAGAGTAAGGAGGACAGGGAATGTGGGGGTGAGGGGTTATAATTTTAGACAGGTGTTCAGGGAAGGCCTGAATCACAAGGTGACACTTGAGTAGAGGTCTGCGAAGTGACAACGTGGGCCATACAAATATCTGGAGGAAGGACATTTCAGATATAAGAAATAGCAAGTGCTAAGACAAGAGTAAAGGAACCCTGGTGGCACAGTGATTAAAGTGCTTGGCTGCTAACCAAAAGGTCAGTGATTTGAACCCACTGGCTGCTCCATGGGAAAAAGACATGGCAGTCTGCTTCCATAAAGGTTTATAGCCTTGGAAACCCTATGGGGCAGTTTTACTCTGTCCTGTAGGGTCATTATGAGTCAGAATTCACTGGATGGCAATGGATTTGGTTTGGTTTTAAGGCAGGAGTAATTTTACTTGTGTGTGATATTAATGATATTGTCAGATAATTTTTGACATTCCGTTGGATTGTCTTTCTTTGAATGGGCACATGTATGTATCTCTGCCAGTCAGTTGGCCAGTTGACTGTCTTACAAATTTCTTGGCACAGACAAGCGAGCGCTTGCAGCATTGCATCTCTTTGTTGAAATGTCTCAATTGGTATTCCATCAATTCCTGGAGCCTTGTTTTTTACCAATGCTTTCAGAGCCGCTTAGACTTCTTCCTTCAGTACCATTGGTTCTTGATCATATGCCACCTCCTGAAATGATTGAATGTCAACCAATTCTTTTTGGTGTGGTGATTCTGTATATTCCTTCCATCTTCTTTTGATGCTTCCTTCATCATTCAATATTTTGCCCATAGAACGTTCAATATTGCATCTCAAGGCTTGAATTTTTTCTTCAGTTCTTTCAGCTTGAGAAATGCCAAACATATTCTTCCCTTTTGGTTTTCTAACTCCAGGTCTTTGCACATTTCATTATAATACTTTGTCTTGTCGAGCTGCCCTTTAAAATCTTCTGTTCAGCTCTGTTACTTCATCATTTCTTCCGTTCGCTTTAGCTACTCTTTGTTCAAATATTCAAAACCAGTTGCAGTGGTACATTCACAGGGAACTGCCAGAAAATCAAGCCAGATTCAGAAGAAGATATGGAACAAGGGATATCATTGCTGATGTCAGACGGATGTTGGCTGAAAGCAGAGAATACCAGAAAGATGTTACCTGTGTTTTATTGACTATGCAAAGGCATTCAACTGTGTGGATCATAACAAATTATGGCTAACATTGCAAAGAATGGGAATTCCAGAATGCTTAATTGTGCTTGTACAGAACCTGTACATAGACCAAGAGGCAGTCGTTTGAACAGAACAAGGGGATACTATGTAGTTTAAAATCAGAAAAAGTGTACATCAGCATTGTATCCTTTCACCATACTTATCCAGTCTGTTTGCTGAGCAAATAATCTGAGAAACTGGACTATATGAAGAACGCAGCGTTAGGATTGGAGGACGACTCATTAACAGCCTGCGATATGCAGATGACACAGCCTTGCTTGCTGAAAGCAAAGAGGACTTGAAGCACTTACTAATGAAAATCAAAGACCATAGCCTTTAGTATGGATTGCACCTCAACAAAAAGAAAACAAAAATCCTCACAACTGGATCAATAAGCAACGTCATGATAAACGGAGAAAATATTGAAGTTGTCAAGTATTTCATTTTACTTGAATCCACAGTCAACACCAATGGAAACAATAGTCAAGAAATCAAATGATGTATTGCATTGGGCACATCTGTTGCAAAAGACTTCTTTAAGTGTTAAAAAGCAAAGAAGTCCCTTTGAGAGCTAATGAGCATCTGACCCAAGTCATGGTGTTTTCAGTTGCCTCATATGCATGTGAAAGCTGGACGATGAATAAGGAAGATTGAAGAAGAATTGATGGATTTGAATTCTGGTATTGGTAAAGAATATTGAATATACCACAGATTGCCAGAAGAATGAACAAATCTGTCTTAGAAGTACAGCCAGAAAGCTCTTTAGAACAGAGGATAGTGAGAATTCATCTCACTTACTTTGGACATGTTATCAGGAGAGACCAGTCCCTGGAGAAGGACTTCATGGTTGGTAAAGTAGAGGGTCAGCAAAAAAGAGGAAGACCCTCAATGAGATGGATTGACACAGTGGCTGCAACGATGGGCTCAAACATAGCAACGATTGTGAGGATAGTGCAGGGTGGTGCAGTGTTTTCTGTTGTACATA